AACAAGGGTCAACTTTTACTCCATGTCCCTTTTTTCGGGGGGGGGGGCTTTCAAACCGCTGTGTAGCCAGGGTTCTCAACATCAAGGGAGAATGAGGCTGATGTTACAGTCCTGGAGTTGGAGCCCACTTTCTGTTAAAATATGCAAGTATGCTGACACAATTACAGTTTGGGGGCGACTCGGAGGCAGGGATCCTACCCACCCCCCCCCCCCCCCACCCCCCGCCGCTGAACTTACACGGGGATTGTTATGGGCTTGGCTGTTGGTAATTTTATTTGTAAAATCACGTGAAGTGAGCGCATTATTTCAGGTTCAAGCCAAAGCTTTGAAATATCCGTGGGAGAAAGTGCCACCATTGAACACTGAATCGGGCTTGAAATTCAAATAAATGTATGCTCAATAAATAAAGTCACGCCACTTGTTGCAATTGCCAGTTTGGTTTCAACGTTAAGCCGTTGGTAATTACAGAAAAGTCATTATGCCTGAAAATATAATATGAGCAACAATTTGAGCTGTGTTATCATGCATAATGTAGTAACTGCGGGAATTTACACAAAGAAACAAAACAATCATCCGTTTGCTGGTGGCCTCGTCTTCAGTCTCACAAAATGTTATGTACTTTTTGTCGGCACCGAATAAAATTATTCTTATCTATCATGATAACTGCGAAGACAATTTCATATTACCAGGCAATGCATAGATAAAGCAATGGAATCCGATAACCTAATTGACTGTTGTGTTTTTGAAAATATAATGCAAGTTTTTAAGAATATATGGTGAAACTTAATGTCCACCTTTTGGGGGATATTGGGGGCGCTGTTTCCATTAACCGAACCCTCAAGTCCACACGGTCTTCCGTTTCAAAGATAGCAAGAACGTGCTTGCTTGGTTCAGTTTCTTTGACAAAAGGGTGCATATTGAGATACACCCTGTTTTGTGCTAGATGTGACCTGGGCCCAATTTCACGGCTTAACAGTTGGCAATAAAGTTGTGCTTAGCATAGCAGAAAAAAATTGCTAACCTTGTACACGTTTTCACGGCATGGACGTGCTAACGGTGGGGCGTGCATTTAAGCATTTTTTCCTCTGAAGTAAGCGTGCCTTTTGTTGCGCTTATGCGAACGGTCTCGATGAAATTGACGGAAGCTCTGTCAGCAGGAAATCGTGTGCTTACTGCAGCGCCGTGAAATTGGGCCCAGATATGACAAGGCAAGAGGGCGTAACTATAATAGATACAAATTTATGCCTCGTTATTAGGCAGTATGTTATACGCATCGTAGAAATGCAGTAATAGTACATTTGGATATGCTTTCTCAAGGAACACCATTTTACCAAAATAATCCTTTTAATTATGTTTGTGATACTTCATGATAAAAATTGTTCATATGTTTTCCATTGCCTCTATTTAAAACACAGCAAAGACAAGCAGCTGAAATTTCCACTGTATATTCCCAACATTATTCACAATCTGTGGTAGAAAAATAGGTTTAATCAATGGTAAAAAAGAAACGTAGAAGACCCTGAACTTTAAAACAGATTTTTCTCGAAATGCGTTTTTTTCAAGATACACCATTTTACCATGCTCTTCAACAGAAAAAAAAGAAATAGATGAATGTAAGTTAGTTTGGAATTGACCGGTTGCGCTCTGTATATAAGTCAGGTGACCTATGGTGGGTATCAAACATCAAAACTGCGTTCTGTTGTAAAGTACATGATGATTGTTGCATTTGTTTGTTCGATCGAGGTTTTTTCGTTCTCGAAACCTCTGAAGAAAACCCCTGAGTTTGTATCTGAAACCTTACTGGAATGGCTGAATAAGGCCAGTAAGGACAGTTCCAGCAAGTATTGGACATTCTATAAGTACCGCTGAGATTGACGGCCGCGATCAAACACTTTTAATAGGGAGTCCGGCAATTTTTAGATTTTTTCAACCCTGAAAATGTGGAATCATTTGAAAGAAAATCACAATCACACGACAAAACAACGTATAAATTATTATTATAATGGCTTGCGTTTTGGAGATATGCCAATTTAAATGGCAAAATACAATGAAAACATTCTGTCAATTATAGTGTAAAAATAGGGCATAATTTATTAACACCTCTAAAATTTTCAGACCTGTCTAAAATGTTTAATATCATAGGAATCCTGATAAAATAAACACCTTTTTATATTTTGGAATTAGCTTTTTAACTCCCATTGCAAACAAATTATGCTTTTTTTTTTCGGAACACCGCACGATTGTACAAACCAAGGCCACTTCGCGATACGACCACACAACTCCGTCGCCGTATAGACACGGGCAAACTGCAGTTCCATTCACGCTTCACACAACGCAGCACAACCTATGGTCTAACCATAGCTCAAATCTATGGTGTACTATAAGGGACACCTATCTGTTATCGTCGTGCGTGTGGGGAGCTCCGTCGTGCCTGTGAACAGGACCATCGTGCCTGTGAGCAGACCGTCGTGCGTGTGAGTAAAACCGTCGTGCCTGTGATCAGGTCCGTCGTGTTTGTAAGCAGACCGTCGTGCCTGTGAGCAGGTCCGTCGTGCCTGTGAGCAGGTCCGAGTGCCTGTGAGCAGGTCCGTCGTGCCTGTGATCAGGTCCGTCGTGTTTGTGAGCAGACCGTCGTGCGTGTGGGGAGCTCCGTCGTGCCTGTGAGCAGGTCCGTCGTGTTTGTGAGCAGACCGTCGTGCGTGTGAGTAAAACCGTCGTGCCTGTGATCAGGTCCGTCGTGTTTGTAAGCAGACCGTCGTGCGTGTGAGTAAAACCGTCGTGCCTGTGAGCAGGCCCGTCGTGTTTGTGAGCAGACCGTCGTGCGTTTGAGTAAAACCGTCGTGCCTGTGAGCAGGTCCGTCGTGTTTGTAAGCAGACCGTCGTGCGTGTGAGTAAAACCGTCGTTCCTGTGAGCAGGCCCGTCGTGTTTGTGAGCAGAGCGTCGTGCGTGTGAGTAAAACCGTCGTCCCTGTGAGCAGGCCCGTCGTGTTTGTGAGCAGAGCGTCGTGCGTGTGAGTAAAACCGTCGTTCCTGTGAGCAGGTCCGTCGTGTTTGTGAGCAGACCGTCGTGCTTGTGAGTAAAACCGTCGTGCCTGTGAGCAGGTCCGTCGTGTTTGTGAGCAGACCGTCGTGCGTGTGAGTAAAACCGTCGTGCCTGTGAGTAAAGCCGTCGTGCGTGTGAGTAAAACTGTCGTGTTTGTGAGTAAAACCATCGTGCCTGTGAGTAAAACCGTCGTGCGTGTGAGTAAAACCGTCGTGTTTGTGAGTAAAACTGTCGTGCCTGTGAGTAAAACCGTCGTGCCTGTGAGTAAAACCGTCGTGTTTGTGAGTAAAACCGTCGTGCGTGTAAGTAAAGCCGTCGTGCCTATGAGGCGCCATGTGTAAATAAATTATTAAACAAAATTATTTATATATAATTCATTATTTATTATATAATTCAGTTTTCCGGACAATTATATGTCAATAATTGTTTGGCAGTTTGCATTATATGTAAATAAATTTATTTGCCACTGCAATATTTATATATATTTTTTTTTTTGCAACCTAATTTTTTTACATATAATTTTGGGCAAACTAGAATTATTTATATATAATTTATTTGCAAACTTATTATTTATATATAATTTTTGCACACTTTTGTATTTATTTATAATTTATTTGCAACATATGGAGAACTTTGCCACTCATATGTGCAGAAAATCACAGCCCTGGTCTGCGGTCACACACAGCAGGGTGAATTGACCCCGCGACCTTCACAGCCCCACTCTGGGTCAGCACAGAAGGAGGACCATTCCATTTCGCGAATTAGGGGAAAACATTAAGTGTAAACAAAGAACTTCAATGCGGGTATGCAATGTACATGTACAAAATGTACATCAACATGGTGTGAATAAAAAAGCTTCTGGAAACAGTATGTTTGTTTGAAAACTTTAACGTCACTTTTATTTTTAATACTGCCTTGAATAACTCAATGTAAAAACTTTGTATCAGCTTGTAATGGCTTCAATTCGCATGCCATTATTAACCATCAAATAATGAATAACAAATGCTAAATTAACAAAATAGAAGCTGCACATTTAAATATATACTTTTGAGGTAGAATGTAGTATTTGTTATGAAAAATAGTTATATGGCAAACAATAGTTATATGGCATCATACAAGTTCTCGGGAAAACCTGTTAAGTAGGCATGAAAATGGCATTGTTTAACTAAATCGTGGCATAATGTGGCAAATAGTAGAGTTGAAACTTGAATGCACAGATTGGAAACTCATATCAAAATTATTAACACTAATAGTTATAGCGGTACCATTAGCGTATTCCTTTTGCAAAATTTAACACTGGATTGATGTTGTGAATCTAAATTCTTATTTCATATTGAAACCTGAATGTTCTGTATGCAAAGGAAGCCTTAGGTTACATATTTCTTTCATAAAAAAAATACAGTGTGAAGATATAAATACATGTATAAAGCTACACTCTATTCTAAATGGCTAAACACATAAAAAAGCTAACAAGAAAGACACAAAAATCAGTTTTAGAAAACACAAAGTGCACAAACGTGGCATTAGTGGCAAATAAGCCGAGTTCCAGCTCTATGTCGTTCTCTGTTACTGACTGGCAACTCACATAAAAATAGCAATGAAATACATCAAAAGGTAGCCCTAAAATTAGTAACATTTCATCATAAACAATGAGACTACATGATACTTTATGCACCTGCCATAAATGTAACACGCATTTACATGTAATCGTGAAATATAAATTACAGTAAAAGTACACAAATCTCCTTTCATAGGGCCTACCGTTTGTTATGTTGATTCTTAAGGGATTCAAAATAAGACAACATATGATATGTTCACTTTGCACATTAATTTATTGCAAGGAACACGTCAGTCTGTTGTGACCATGTTGTTTACATGAACTACACTGCACCGCCCACTTGGGAGAACGTTTACAATTTGTTTCCAAGTACCTCAATCTATTTTGTTTTTGCATTACCTGTTTGAGTGCATCCGTCCCAAAGTTTGAGGATCGGAAATACCACTTGGTTACAAAGTCGTTCAGCTTCTCAAGACCTTGCTGACAGAAAAACGATGGATTTCCATATAGGCGCATGACTTCATGTATATGGTTTGCAAGGACGTGCATGTAGGGAGTTACATCTTTTGCCAAGTGCACATTCTGGTACAACATTACCCATTCCTTAGCTGATGACTGAAATTCATCAATCTCAGCTGATGCAGAATCTTTGTTCAACTGACTTATCAATGATCTGAAACTATTCCACAGGGTTTGAATTTGTTGTAACTTTGGGTGGTCTGGAATGATTGCAGCCAAATCAATTTTTGCCAAAATTCTCCTGTGTTCTGGTCCTGTAAAAGTCCGTGCCTGGATTTTTGAATCTTGTACTGCATATTTCCAGTCAGTGATTCCTAAGTCATTAATGAAATTCTGAAATCGCATAAGATTGCTGCAAGTTTCTAATTTGAGGTTTGGATTTAGCCGTGTAATATTATTACACTGCTGGAGGTAAAATGTCACTTGATATACTAGTTGATCCATGATCCTCAAGAACAAATGTAACGTGTCTGGGATGACTTTAACAATGGGGACAGAAGGAAATATCGGCACAGAATTGCAGTTAAATCTGGTTTTACTGGACTTCGGCTTCTGGGAGCATTCAATGATTTCTTTGACCGTTCTCGCTCCCTTACTTGTATCTGCCATTGACCAAACTTTAGTCATGTCTGCCCGTTCAAGTTTTGGACATTTGCACCAGAGACAGGAGAATGTAGACGCAAAACCCCTATGCCGGTGATTTGATTGATACATTTTAGATCACCGCCCAGGAACTTTTCAATGCTGATCACCTTTTCCCCAAGTGCAATCGAGTCCAAACTGTTAAACTCATCTATCAATTCCCTCAAAGCTTTTTGTATACATTCTCCTGTCTCTGGGCATTGCACTAAAGCAAGCAAGTAATTCCCACGTTCTGACCGACAGTGTTCATCACCGATGATAGTATAAGTCACATTTATGAGATGTTTTTTGGTTCCCGCCCGTGTCCCATCGCCACTAAGCTTTATTTTCACTGTTCCATCCTGAATAAGATGCTTATTCGAAGGATTACCCAAGGTTTGAACCAGGTGACCAGCCAACGACTTAAATACACCCCTGTACTTTGCAACCAATGTCTTGATTTCAAACGTGCCGTTTAGTTTGTGTCTTCTTTTCTTTATGTTACACATTCTGGGTAGGGAACTAACACGTTGGGCAATTTCATGGTATGCTTTATCTGCAATGTTAAAGGAGTCCATAATGAATATCATTTCATCAATTTCTTCTTGAGTCACTTTGCTCATTGTATTCTGGACTGGGACATTTTGTTCATTTAAAACTACATGAACAATTTGGCCATCATCATTTTGGAACTGAGCGTTCACATGTATTGCCTGACATCCCATGTTACTGAGGTTTCCAAACACGTCTTGAACCATTTTGATTTTTTGATCTTTATGACGACGTTTCTGTGATTTACTGTAACAAGCCATCCCCTTGCTCCGACCCCTTTCTCCTCGTTGGCGTTTTACTGGATTTGATAATCTATGCAGTTTGCTTTGTAATTCTGCGTTCTCTTCCTTAGCATTTTTCAGCTCAATCCCTGTATCGTTCAACTCATTTTCCAACTTTCTTGTTTTACAACTTTCATTCTCCAGCTCATTTTCTAGTTTCCGTTTAGTTGGACTGCCTGTTTTGTGTTGGACTTTCATTTTGTATACAGATTCTCCCCATCTTTCCAACAATTTCTCACGTCCACTTGTTCCTTTCGCACTTGTCCATTTTTTCCAGAGTCTACCCAATTTACTTTCGAGAAACTTCAAAGAGTTCACTCTACAATTTTCAAGGGACACATGGTGTTTTGCCAGTATGCGTTGAAACAAGGATTGAATGTTTTCGTGCGTGAGGCATCCATTAAAACTGCTGACCAAATTTAACAGAAAAATGTCAGAAACGTCAATCTCAACAATACAAGCATATGTGTCTGTTTCATCAGGAGTTGCACAAACAGGACGTACAATGGACATCAATGCCAAAAGCAAAATTATGAAAGGACCAAAAAGATCCATGGCGTTGGAGAAAAAGAATGTGAAAGAAAATCATGTGAAAATCATGTGACAACAAACACTGATACACCTTGTGTTAAAACGTGTGGAATTAACCGCTTGCTATAGTGCAGTTACACGTACATGTACATGCACATGTACATGCAATTTTAAATTAAATTATTAATACATTACTACAATATGATGTCAAAATCCTATATAGTGATATATAATAACAGAAGAACCTGTGCAGAGAAGAAGACAAGTGACCTGGGGGATTATTTGGAAAAGGGCTGGAAATCAAACTTGTTTCCCATTCCACGGACGAATTTCAATTTAAATACAAAACCTCTATGGATAATTTCCAAGTTACCATCGGAAGAAAACTGCTCCAGGGGCTTTCTCTCGGTGAGTCGAAAGCTGACTGTGTGAGGTGTCACAAAAGCAACGTCTCCTTGGCTATTAAAAATTCGCCAGTGCCATCCTTCTCCTAAAAGAGAGTTAAAGGCCGTCAAAAGTTCCAAATGGAATTGACGGGATTCCGTAAGTTTCCCAAGCGACGCAATTTCGTCAAACAACTCTCTCTGGATTGGCAATTCAATGTTCATAATACTGTCAACTTTGCGTTGGCCATGGAGTGACTCCTTGATGGAAATCTTGAGCTGCTCCACAAAGAAGGCCCTTCCCTCCGGAGTACTTTCCACAAAGCAGTTGGGAATGTCAATCATTGCATCAGCTGGCCGCCATTCATCATATTCTGCAGATTTCCATTCCTCATCTGTGTAGTGGACCTTTAGAAAAAGTTTGTCTTGAACAAATTTAGAGTCCACCACCACCAAACTGTAAAGTTTAGTTGTTGACCAAGACTTTTTCGGTAGGCCTACCCGATCGGTTGGCAAAGATGGTCCACTGTTCAACGGGCAGTAGTCCACTCGTCCAGTTTGCCGGAGCCTCGAGCTTCTCAAATTGCTGTCATCAGAATCAGCCATGAAATCTGTATGGAAATACATGTAAACCATCGAAACAATCAATAAATCACTCAGCAAGTTCACTGTTGAAAACAGAAATGAAAGTCATGGGGTTTGTACACTTATCATGGCTATTTTTAAGTAAACATCACATGTAAAATAAAGCTAAAAATCTCACCTCTTCATGCACTGCAAGTACATGTGTATGCCACGTGTGCATCCCACGCTGGCAGGCTGGCACTACACGTATCACCCCTCTACATGAGATGAACTGATCCACGCGATCAGGTTGGCATTTGCGGTAAAAAAAAGTAGGCTAAAATGGCACCAAAATGAAGTCTAGCAGGTTTACGAAAAGACCTACACAGACCAGAAAAGTACCCTTGTCATCAACAATATGAGTAAATCGATTGAAATAGATCAGAGCATCAACAAAAATACGAGAATAGTACACATGGCTCGTTCGACAAGTAAAATCTACGGCAGAAGCGTGTCATGGGCAAGTCTGGTGCCAGTCGCCAGACCGCTGCACACCACATACGCAAGTGCCGCGGTTGCAATAGGTCCGTAGACCGGACTATAAATGAACAGCAGGTCGTACCTCAGAACAAAAGCGATGTCTGATTTGACAAGAAAAGTGCCCCTGGTTCTTCTCAACCAATAAAAATGATTGTTACATGAAAAGAAAGCTTATTGTTTCCTCTTTCAGAAACCGTGCGAGGTAATTGTATGCGACCGGGTTCACACGTGTGCTGTTCGAAGAAGTAAACCCGCACCCTCAAAAATCGGGGAGATGTGCCGTGACCTCCATAGGAAACGCGAAATTTTCACTGAGTTGCCCGTTTTTCAATGAAAAAGTGCACATAATTCTTCGCCTCCAATCATGAAGAAATGATATTCATATGAAAGAGAGAAATCTGTATTTTGTGATGCGATGCGAGGAAGTAAGTTTAACCAACACACTTTCCGCATATTAACGAAAGTTTGCTAAGAGCGCCCTGAAATGTGCCAGTCTTCCCACGTAAACAAAGCTGCACTAGTGGCGAATGAGCAAATGCGCCCTAGTTCTCCATATGCCTTTTTATTGATATATAATTTTTGTACACTTTATTTATTTATATATAATAATAGCCCCACCAGTACTAGAGGGTGCTAGGCGTAGTGTTTTTAAAGATTAAAACGAACTTGGTCAAAATTGGTCAAAATTCAAAATCTTACTTAAGAATTATTTATTTCTTTTGAATTGAGGCACTGCATTATATAATAAGTAATGAATTATATAATAAATAATGAATAATATATTAAATAATGCATTATATATAAATAAATAAAGTGTGAAAAACAATTATATTTAAATAATAAGGTACCAAATAAATCATACAACAAATAATAAAAAAAAAAGCGTGCATACAAATATATATATAAATAATGAGGTACCAAATAAATTATATATAAATAATAAGGTTGCAAAAAAAATTATATATATAAATAATGCAGTGGCAAATAAATTTATTTACATATAATGCAAACTGCCAAACAGTTATTAACATATAATTGTCCAGAAAACTGAACTATATAATAAATAATGAATTATATATAAATAATGTTGTTAAGTAATTTATTTACACATGGCGCCTCATAGGCACGACGGCTTTACTCACACGCACGACGGTTTTACTCACAAACACGACGGTTTTACTCACAGGCACGACGGTTTCACTCACAGGCATGACGCTCTGCTCACAAACACGACGGACCTGCTCACAGGCACGACGGTTTTACTCACACGCACGACGGTCTGCTCACAAACACGACGGACCTGCTCACAGGCACGACGGTTTTACTCAAACGCACGACGGTCTGCTCACAAACACGACGGACTTGCTCACAGGCACGACGGTTTTACTCACACGCACGACGCTCTGCTCACAAACACGACGGACCTGCTCACAGGCACGACGGTTTTACTCACACGCACGACGGTCTGCTCACAAACACGACGGACCTGCTCACAGGCACGACGGTTTTACTCACACGCACGATGGTCTGCTCACAAACACGACGGACCTGCTCACATGCACGACGGTTTTACTCACAAGCACGACGGTCTGCTCATTAACACGACGGACCTGCTCACAGGCACGACGGAGCTCCCCACACGCACGACGGTCTGCTCACAGGCACGACGGTTTTACTCACACGTACGACGGTCTGCTCACAAACACGACGGACCTGCTCACAGTCACGACGGACCTGCTCACAGGCACGACGGACCTGCTCACAGTCACGACGGACCTGCTCACAGGCACGACAGACCTGCTCACAGGCACGATGGACCTGCTCACAGGCACGACGGACCTGCTCACAGGCACGACGGACCTGCTCACAGGCACGACGGAGCTCCCCACACGCACGACGATAACAGATAGCTGTCCTTTATAGTACACCATACAAATCGGTCAATTATTTGCTGCCTTCAACATCATTTCGTGTTTGACTCTTGTGTTTTTTTTTCTTTTTTTTTTTCTCTTCAGATGTTTAAAATGAGAAAGGGCCATAAAGTCATGGGATCGGGCTGGATATCATCTGCATTGCTGACAGCACTGATTGCTATCGGTACGTCGTTATTAACCAATATTCTCTCTATATGGGTCTGAGGTATTTATTTGAATAATGAGTGGAGTGGAGTTGCTCCGTGGTCCGGAGCATCAAACTCAAATTATGTGGGAAATTGTTCAGGTTGTGGGTTCGAGTCCAGCCTGGGCTTGCGATGCGTGTGTCCCGTGGGCAAGACACTTTTCGTCACACAGGAATAGGTAACTGCGATGGCAGAAGTGGTTCATATTATTGATTTTGGCTGCTTTGCACCTAAATGGCAGCATCGAGGTGTATACATCCAAAGGCCTGGAGCTGAGTTAGTTGTTTTATGATCCCAACGAGAATTAGGGGTAACAGTGGTTTAAGAGTCCATCTAGTTGCGCTACAAAAAAAAAAAAAAAGGACTTTTGTACGACATCGTGAAGTGTGAATTTAAGGTCTGAAAGGTTTGTAAAGATCCCATCATAATTTTAAGTATTGTGCTTGATTCATTATTTGGCACAGGCTGGAGTTTTCGGAAAAGCATTGTTTTCATTTTGTAATTTCGGTGGAATTGTATATGATTATGTTGGATATTCAAACTGCTTTAAAATCAAAGTTGTTTCCAGACTTTGCATCACAAAACATTTTCATATATTTCATGCGTGCCGATCTGTGATATGTCGTTGTGATCATCATATTTTGACTGCTGGGCAATCCAGTAAAATCCGACGTATACGTCCTACCACATTGTGGTGTACGAACATGTACAATGTCGTTAAGGTGGTGGTACCTCAGTTTGGTCTGTAATGTGTTTTTTTTGCTCATTAGATGTCACACCACATTCACTGTTCCAGCAGCAGGTCATTGAAATGTCTGACATGTACGTCTGGATTTACAGAATGGTCCTGCTATGAAAAGTGGTCCAACTTTTATCTTGTACGGACTCTAATATTATGTGACTTTTATCTTCCCTAACAAATGTGCAGCACGTGCAACCATTGAGTCAGTATTTCATAAAGTCCAAATTTAACAGCTACATCGGCCAATTCTTGTGATGAATTTGCATTCGTAAACGTGCAATTGCCGGTAGGTTTCTTGGCTTGGACTCGTATTTAATTGAACGTTTCTGTGATACGAATGAAAACAAATTCGGCAGGGCAAGAACTTGGATGCGCCTTGTTCCATAGTCCCCTCACACTTCTTGACCTGTATGCAGTTTCACATTGTTTTCACTCGTTTGGTTGTTTCTTTATTTTTCTCACTGAATAATGCAGTCGTCAGTTCAGTTTCAGCCCGAGTCTGTACTCTGATGATTGACCTAGACTCACGCGGTTGCGGCCAACGCATGGGGAGATTTGTCCTGCCACCAGGCGATCCTTGCACCTGTACAGGGGTCAGACTGGGCGGTCATTACCACCGCTACGCGCCTGAGATGCAGGGACAGGATCCACCGTTGTATATGGACATGCTGCCGGAGGTGACTGCTGAGGTTATCGGCCGTTGGCTCAACTGCACTGAGAACAAACCGGTAGAGTCGACGCTTGGAGTCACTGAGACTGCCCCAGAGTTGACTTCTAAAGTTGCCCCGGGGTCGACACCTGTCGCATCGACTCCTACCGATACGACACAAGTTATCAGCATCACCCCTGAGCCGTCGATGCCGCCTGCAGATTGTCAAGTGATCTTAGATGCCGGTCAGAGCGCTAGCGGTGTGTATACCATCCGGCACGCAGGCCAGAATATGCAGGTCTACTGCCGCATGGAGTTGGGGAAAGGATACATAGTGAGTAAACTTATTTTCTCAGAATCATTCTGTATTTTTCAATTATAACATGGTAGGAAGATATTTTGACAATTTAGCTCCGAAATGTATTTGACACTGACAAAAAAAGAATACTTCAGGCAATAGTGTTTTCAACTTGTTGCACTGAGTACTGTTGTTGGTGCTAAGGAAATGTAATCTTGAAGAACGTCCGTGCATACGCGTACAGTTGATAACTGAACCAGTGACGATAATTAACAAACATGCGCTTAAGCTAACGGGAAGTTGGAAGTTGCACCATATACCAATATGTTTCATTATATTCCTGTAATTATCAATTTGTTTATTGTCATTAATAAAAAAAAATGCGATGAAAGCTACTAAACTTCCAACCTTATATTCTACCCCAAATAAAATGAAAGGTTTAGCTTCGAACAGACTGGTTAATGGTTAATGGATTTTCTAGTTAATGTCTGAAATGTCCAATGTTGTTCATGGGTGTGCCTGTGTTATTTTAAGTTTGTTTGCCAACTCCAAAAAAATGACTTCAACTTGTGTTCTGAAACGCAGGTCCACCAATAAAGAAAAAGTCCTTGATTTTGCCTAGAACAGCATAATTGATTCCTTAATGTTAAACCCGAACAAGGATAAAAGCGATGATGGTAAACGTGTCCTAGTTTTACCGTCACTCATATCGTTTCTGACAGGTGTTTCAGAGACGCCTGGACGGCTCGGTGAGCTTCGACCGAACCTGGCAGGAGTACGCCGAGGGATTCGGGAATCTGACCGGAGAGTTTTGGCTGGGCAACCAGAAGCTGCGTAGTCTGACTCGTAACTGGGGTCGGGATATGGTCATCAACCTGAGGGCGTTTGACGGGGAAGAAGCCCGTATTCGTTATGAGGACTTCAACGTGGACTCATCTGAGAACAAATACAAGCTTTTTGTTCGTTGGTTCAGTGAGGACGGTGGAGATGCAGGTATACAGAATCCCCCGCGTGATTTCATTATCCTTCACAGAGACTTCTCCTATCACACATCATGTCTTGCACTGTTGTATACAATATAACTCTGGTATAACTGCTCTGCTCTCAGCACAAAAAAGACCGATAAAACCATATTACAGATTGTTGATAGCAGGCGATAATTTGTTTTCTGTGTCCCCCAAATCGATGCTTCATTTGGCCGCTTGTTTATATACATGTACTGATACAACACACAAATAACATACTTCAGGGGAAAATATTCAGGGAAGTTTTTTTTTTTTTTCAAAATGTCCAGCCGATACAAACCCATAAAGCGGGAAGGAAGCAGGGTTGAAACTGTTGTTGAATAGTTTGTTTGGTGCCAAGGCAGCAATTACATCATTAACACTAGATCCAAGTAGTTTGTGTAGACTAAATTCAACGTATAATAAAGCCTGTTAACAATGTTGTTTCAAACTGTACAAGTAGTTATAATAATTTTACAATATATTGTATAAATCTTTTAATATTTGCTATTCCAATGATTTTCAATTATATTATCTGTGAGTCATTGCTTCGTCGCCGTAGTGAACCAGGTTTGCTATACAGCTAGAAGGTGAGCTACGGTGACGTCGCATTTAATTATTACTTTTACCGATAACCCAGGTGGTTCCTTTTATATATTCTTTGCTATAAATAAATAAATACAAGCCTTACTTAATTTTCACTGGCAACAAATACTGCCCATGTTATCTTATTATTTAATAAAGAGAAAAGCTGGTCTAATTTTATTTCCCTTTGGCAAACATAGCCACTGAAACTTAATCTTTTTGGCAATGTGAGCCACAGAAATGTAATCTTTAAGGCAAAGTTAGCAACATAAATGTTTCGAACTGTTTGGGCATACCTTGGCTAAAGAAATATAATAAAATAAATAAACAAAGAAACAGATTAAGGCAATCATAAAAAAAAACCAAGGCGACCATGTCTAACAAAAAAATGAAAAGAAAGGAATCCATTCAAATGTTATTTTAATGAGTAGTCCCTTTATGACACTGCCATGCAGCATTCGTTATCAATTAATGTACTTATACAAGGTCTGACGATCCTTCCTTTCTTATGCTCACAGGTGATTCACTCTGGACTCATAGTAACGAAGACTTCTCAACTCTAGACAAAGACCATGACGACACCGTTGGGGAAAACTGCGCTGAGAAATTTCACGGAGGCTGGTGGTACAAACGCTGCGGTAGCGACATCAGCCACCGCTTCGTGAGCAACCTGAACGGCTTGTACTACAACAACGCAACAGTCGATGATTACATGGGGATACAGTGGGTCACCTGGAAGGGTAAAGCAGTCTCTCTTAAAGGGTGTGAAATGATGACACGACCCAAATGGTAAGCGTTACCGGTAATAAAAAAGGACCCACAATGAGACAACAGTGCAACGAGGGGGGATATTACGGGGCCCAGAACTAAGTTCAAAATATTTTGGATAAAGAACATTGATTTCGCTCTGTATAATGTTTTGGGGCAAGTTAGTAGGAAAGATGGTTTGAAAACAAATATCCCACGTTTAAGAAACATTACCAGTAACAGCAAGTTTACTAACAAAATAAAAAAAACACAATGGTCTGTTTGTGCCATTTTTGAGTTTCACCCCCCTAAAAAAGTTTTACAAATATCAAATTACATGAAAATAATTCAGTTTTCGCACGACATAGACTTGTCCCTGCCCCTCTATTAAAATCGATAATGTCAGGACAAGGCACCATTGTACTCGCAATCGAAAGTTTTATCGTAACATTGAACCATGTAAAAGTTAACATTTGTCGGTTAAAAAAAACCAATGATTTTGTTGGAGAGCCCATTTAATCTGAATGGGAAACGAACATTTCAATCGATACGGTGTCACATGAAAATCCGACTCCTATGAAAATCGGACCCCTATTTCCCTATTATTGGTTGATCCCCCGCACGTGACAAGTCACTCTCCCGAAATGATCCTAAAATAGCATAGTATCGTACTCACGCGTGCGCAGTACTGCCAATGAGTCCACATTTCATGGAGTCGGATATTCACGCTACACCGGCACTGGTACGGTTTTCTGAGGTTACAGGCTCACGTCCACCTTTTCTCTGTTAAGCTGTACTCTGATCGAGAAGTGAACGCAGGTAAGTTTCAGTGTTGTAATACTCGTATTCGGTACTCGTACTCGTACTCGTGTACTTTTTTTGGAGTACTCATATTCGTACTCCAATGTCAAAGTACTCGTACTCGAAATAACGGTACTTGTACTCGGGCAGCAAAGTACTCGTACTTGACATGTCGAAATTGTACTCGATTATTAAAGTACTAGTACTCGAATAGCTGTACTCGGGGGATGTTATAGATTAATTCAACTACCACGATGACCTTATTTTATAGATGCTTTCAGTTTGAAATGGTTGATTGGCTTGTGGAGAAATCGAGATTTCCTGATTTGCCTCTGTGCAAGTACAGTCCGGACAAACACATTTAACAGCTTGCCATGAGTGGGTCTATATATCGGTCTGACTTGGCCTGGGCCAATTACGCACAATGAACCATTTGCCGTATGACCGTATTCGGAAATGCAAGTACTCTTACTCGTACTCGGAAGTACAAGTACTCGTTCTCGGAGACCCGTTCTTGTACTCGGAGGTACTCGTACTCGTACTCGGCAACACAAGTACTCGTCTCGGCAGTACTCGGTACTCGGAAAAAGTACTCGACTGCAACACTGAGGTTAAGTCAGTTAACAACATGGGTCAACCATTAGCCGCGGGTTAACCATCGAACCATTGTTTCTAAATTCTCTCTACCAAATCTATCGAATATCGATATTAAAAAATGACATATTTACTGATTGTATTCGTAACACGGTATAAGTCACGAGGCGTATTGGCATCGGGAATTGGGCCCCGGGGCATCGTCGGCAATGCAAGACTATGCCCTACAAGAATTGATTCTCATCCGTTTGCTATACAGCTAGAAGGTGAGCTACGGTGACGTCGCATTTAATTATTACTTTTACCGATAACCCAGGTGGTTCCTTTTATATATTCTTTGCTATAAATAAATAAATACAAGCCTTACTTAATTTTCACTGGCAACAAATACTGCCCGTGTTATCTTATTATTTAATAAAGAGAAAAGCTGGTCTAATTTTATTTCCCTTTGGCAAACATAGCCACTGAAACTTAATCTTTTTGGCAATGTGAGCCACAGAAATGTAATCTTTAAGGCAAAGTTAGCAACATAAATGTTTCGAACTGTTTGGGCATACCTTGGCTAAAGAAATATAATAAATAAATAAACAAAGAAACAGATTAAGGCAATCATGAAAAAAACCAAGGCGACCATGTCTAACAAAAAAATGAAAAGAAAGGAATCCATTCAAATGTTATTTTAATGAGTAGTCCCTTTATGACACTGCCATGCAGCATTCGTTATCAATTAATGTACTTATACAAGGTCTGACGATCCTTCCTTTCTTATGCTCACAGGTGATTCACTCTGGACTCATAGTAACGAAGACTTCTCAACTCTAGACAAAGACCATGACGACACCGTTGGGGAAAACTGCGCTGAGAAATTTCACGGAGGCTGGTGGTACAAACGCTGCGGTAGCGACATCAGCCACCGCTTCGTGAGCAACCTGAACGGCTTGTACTACAACAACGCAACAGTCGATGATTACATGGGGATACAGTGGGTCACCTGGAAGGGTAAAGCAGTCTCTCTTAAAGGGTGTGAAATGATGACACGACCCAAATGGTAAGCGTTACCGGTAATAAAAAAGGACACACAATGAGACAACAGTGCAACGAGGGGGGATATTACGGGGCCCAGAACTAAGTTCAAAATATTTTGGATAAAGAACATTGATTTCGCTCTGTATAATGTTTTGGGGCAAGTTAGTAGGAAAGATGGTTTGAAAACAAATATCCCACGTTTAAGAAACATTACCAGTAACAGCAAGTTTACTAACAAAATAAAAACAAACACAATGGTCTGTTTGTGCCATTTTTGAGTTTCACCCCCCTAAAAAAGTTTTACAAATATCAAATTACATGAAAATAATTCAGTTTTCGCACGACATAGACTTGTCCCTGCCCCTCTATTAAAATCGATAATGTCAGGACAAGGCACCATTGTACTCGCAATCGAAAGTTTTATCGTAACATTGAACCATGTAAAAGTTAACATTTGTCGGTTAAAAAAAACCAATGATTTTGTTGGAGAGCCCATTTAATCTGAATGGGAAACGAACATTTCAATCGATACGGTGTCACATGAAAATCCGACTCCTATGAAAATCGGACCCCTATTTCCCTATTATTGGTTGATCCCCCGCACGTGACAAGTCACTCTCCCGAAATGATCCTAAAATAGCATAGTATCGTACTCACGCGTGCGCAGTACTGCCAATGAGTCCACATTTCATGGAGTCGGATATTCACGCTACACCGGCACTGGTACGGTTTTCTGAGGTTACAGGCTCACGTCCACCTTTTCTCTGTTAAGCTGTACTCTGATCGAGAAGTGAACGCAGGTAAGTTTCAGTGTTGTAATACTCGTATTCGGTACTCGTACTCGTACTCGTGTACTTTTTTTGGAGTACTCATATTCGTACTCCAATGTCAAAGTACTCGTACTCGAAATAACGGTACTTGTACTCGGGCAGCAAAGTACTCGTACTTGACATGTCGAAATTGTACTCGATTATTAAAGTACTAGTACTCGAATAGCTGTACTCGGGGGATGTTATAGATTAATTCAACTACCACGATGACCTTATTTTATAGATGCTTTCAGTTTGAAATGGTTGATTGGCTTGTGGAGAAATCGAGATTTCCTGATTTGCCTCTGTGCAAGTACAGTCCGGACAAACACATTTAACAGCTTGCCATGAGTGGGTCTATATATCGGTCTGACTTGGCCTGGGCCAATTACGCACAATGAACCATTTGCCGTATGACCGTATTCGGAAATGCAAGTACTCTTACTCGTACTCGGAAGTACAAGTACTCGTTCTCGGAGACCCGTTCTTGTACTCGGAGGTACTCGTACTCGTACTCGGCAACACAAGTACTCGTCTCGGCAGTACTCGGTACTCGGAAAAAGTACTCGACTGCAACACTGAGGTTAAGTCAGTTAACAACATGGGTCAACCATTAGCCGCGGGTTAACCATCGAACCATTGTTTCTAAATTCTCTCTACCAAATCTATCGAATATCGATATTAAAAAATGACATATTTACTGATTGTATTCGTAACACGGTATAAGTCACGAGGCGTATTGGCATCGGGAATTGGGCCCCGGGGCATCGTCGGCAATGCAAGACTATGCCCTACAAGAATTGATTCTCATCCGATACCTGCAGATTGGCAATCGTATTACATACGTAATTATTTGTGAGCGGTATTTTATTTATTGCAGTGCGTATTTTTTTAAACAGTTATGTACGAGATATTAATAGGCATACCTTTTTTTTTCATTATAGTGATTCATAAAATGTTTCTTGATTTTGTGAACAATTGTGATTTTGTTGATTATTTGTGGTACATGTAGATTCAGTTTATTTGATGTTTTAACAGCAGGATATCAATTGTCAACACTGACCCGAAGAGAGCGGATCGGAATCTGTTCCCCTTTCATTTGTTTTATTAGAAAACACGACAATTATTTTCTCTTTTGTTAATCAAGTAATTGGTCCATAACGGAGCTGCCTGCCGATTGTCAAGAGATCTTGGATGCTGGTCAGACAACCAGCGGTGTGTATACCATCCTGGACCACTACGCATGTCAGATTATGCAGGTCTTCTGCAGCATGGAGCCGGAGTCGGGGAAAGGATACATAGTGAGTTAAGTTTCTTATTTTTTTTCAAAACCATGCTGTATTTTACAAGTCAAATGTGGTGGATGGATTGTGGATTTAGCTCCCAGCGGAATTTGAATTTAGAAATAATTTTTGAGTCAAAAAAATCCAGTGCCGCTCGTTATGGAAAAGCAATATAACCACTGTAAAAGGTTGTAAGTCCGTGCACACCGTGCACACGGGCACCGTTAAGTATTGAATCAGTAATTGTAATTAAGTGTAACAAAATCACCCCGAAATTGGAAAATTGGACCATACAAACTGTATGTTTCACTTGTCCCTGCCATCTAAAAAGTCCAATTTGTTGTACAAAACTGCGATTGTATCGAAATGAGTTATATTGGTTCCCAAGCTCCATATTTTTCTGTAGCGGAATTAAACAATTACATAAAAAAAAAGGCTTGATAATTATGTCCTCAGTTGATGTCTATGTCACTTTTTTTTTTAACTGGTGTTCTAGATCTAAATGTCCTCGTCGTATGGACATGTTTTGAGCCGCGCTTGGCAAAGCCTCCGATTACATTTAATCCCACAAACCTATAAGATATTTCTGGGTAAGTGGATCCGGTATTGTATCTCATTATTACCGTCACTCATATCGTTTCTGACAGGTGTTTCAGAGACGCCTGGACGGCTCGGTGAGCTTCAACCGAACCTGGCAGGGGTACGCCGAGGGATTCGGAGATCTGACCGGAGAGTTTTGGTTGGGCAACCAGAAGCTGCATAGTCTGACTCGTAACGGGAAGTGGGAGCTGGTTATCACTCTGAGGGCATACGATGGGGACGAGGCCCGTGTTCGTTATGGGTACTTCTTAATGGACTCGTCTGAGCTCAAATACGGAATTCATTTATCTGGCTTCAGTGAAGAGAGTGGAGATGCAGGTACTTAATACCCCAAACTTTCAGTATCCTTCCGTTTAGGACCTCTCTCATGAGTCTTGCACTGTTTTCTACGATGTCATTTTTTGGTTTAACTGTGTTGTTCTCATCTAATTATTCTAAAATTAATAAACTGATAAATCCTGATTTCTGATTGTATGAATCTGCAGGCAATAATCTGGATCTACCCCCTATTCCAAAAGGAACGCCCTATTCCGCCGCTTGCCTATTAATCCAACCCACGAATTGACCTCCATGCGGATCTATGGAATAATGTCCAAAATCAGAAGCGTAACAAACATTTATTCCCGGAGGGTTTAATGGGAAAAATCCGTAAAGAAGGTTGAATGCACCGTTGAAACTAAAAACAGTTTGTTCGATATCCAGGTAACATTTTATTAGTAATTACATCATGAACAGATCAATATGACAATGTCTAAAACCGAAAAGTAAAGACCTTGCATACAAAACAATAAAAAGAAAGAAATCGGTTCAGATGTCATACATTATTTTTTATTAAAGTGGTCCCTTCGTAAAAAAGTCCACGCATCATGCCTTATATTATATTACTGTAGTTATATACAAGGTCTGACCATCCTTCCTCTCTAATGCTCACAGGTAATTCACTCCGGATTCATCGTAACGAAGACTTCTCAACTCTAGATAAAGACCATGACAACACCAACCGGCATAACTGCGCTGAGAAATTCCACGGAGGCTGGTGGTACAACCGCTGCGGAAGCTACACCAGCAGGGACTTCAAGAGCAACCTGAACGGCTTGTACTACAACAACGCAACAGTCGATGATTACATGGGGATACAGTGGGTCACCTGGAAGGGTAAAAATATCTCTCTAAAAGGGTGTGAAATGATGATACGACGCGGACCGTAACCGGTGATCGAAAGGATTCGTTTTGAAAGATAACAATGAACCTAGGGGTGGTAGTGGGGGCGACAGATCTCAGTTTGGATTATTTTGGCAAAAAAAAAAAAAAGACGCCATCTTCTAAAAACATATTGGGGTTTTTCGTTTAGGAAAATAGTTGAAAGGAGTGGGCTGGGAGGAGGCGGTATAAAAAAGACACACACGATGGCAACATATAAGAAATATTACCAGTGACGGCAAAAAGGATGCTCATTGTTCACTTGGGTTTTTATATGAAATAAAATTAACAATGTACTGTTCATGATATTTTTCAGTTTCATCCCCCCCAAAACAAGTATCAACTGGCTCTAAAAAAATTGCCTATATTGTCTTGGCGTAAAGAGGTGTAATGACTCCCATTATTCATGAAGTTTATTCAGAAATTCAGGCGTTTTGGATAGAGAAGTAATACACTCTTAACTCGCGCTTTCCAGACGCGTCGGCGCTGCCATGTTCATTGCACACATATACCAATACCGGGCACACAAGTTGCCTATGTAGTCTTGAACACAAGTAGGTTTATTTCATTGTCGCAATCGGTAACCGATGCTGGTGGCGTGTATTAAGACAAATGAACCTGGTATCCCGCTCCTTTCGCACGGCGCACTGATTTTACGCATGCTTTCAAGCCTATACTTCACTGGTCCCCATGCATGTGTTGCTCCGATGGACGTATACACAATGTACCGTATATTATACATGTGCGGTACTACCTGATGCATACTGTTCCTGGCCGTACGGTACGGGCAAAAACGTTAAAAGAATTACGAATCGGAACGCAGGGAGTTGAATTGGCAAGTCAAAAGAGCTTTTATTTTCTATTTTCTATTCATTTTAGTTGTAAAAAAAAGTTAATTTCCATTTTCAATAATTTCAATAAATCAGTTTGACCCACCAATCCACATTTTCGAAGAAAAAATATGAAATTTAAAAACATCGAAAATTTTGATTGGCCCCTAATGTCTTTAAAAAAAATCAAACGATTTGCCGCCCGACAATACTTCCGTACTCCAAGGGTAGACTGGTTCCCACCCCTCTTTTAAAAACGATAATGTAAGGCTGTTAATTTGGACCAGGTACAAATCTACTTGCAACTAGAACCCTTTTGCCGTAAAATTCAAACATGCAAAAGTGACAACGAAATTCATTTGTTGGAGATCAAGGAGAGTTAGTTTCATCTGAATGGAAACAAACATTCTCACATCCAGCTTTTCTCAATCTAGCCCAACTATGATCTAGAAATAAGTGAACGCAGGTTAAGTCAGGTAACAGCCGAGGTTAACCATTAACCACGGGTTAACCAATGAACTATTGTTTCCAAATTCTCTCTAACTAAACTATCAAATATCAATATTCCAAGGAGGACCTCGATCGTAACACGGTCACGGGGCGTATTGACATCGGCCGTTAGACCCTGGGATATCACGAGAAATGCAAGACCATCCTCTACAGTCCTGGGTCATTGCCATTGGATATGTAAAGACTGGCAATCATATAACATTCGTATTGTTTTTACAGGCATAGCGGCTGGAGTATTTTGTGTAACCGATTAATTAACACAATTTTCATCAACACGCATTCAGATTAGTGCAGATTATTTTCTCGTTTTTGTCAATACTGGGGTTTTGTTTTTGGATACATAGTGAGTTAAATTTGGTTTCTGGTTTTGCCATTGATGTTCGTTTTAGTCGTTCTACAGTGATATGGATTAGTGGGGTATAAAGGTATTGCTATCTTTCTTTCATTATAAGTTGTTCTGAATGATATTCTTGTTCCATAATTATTGTCTTGGATTGAATAATTCATTTGCATCATTAATCTGTTATTTGTGCGTGTAATAATAATAATAATATCGGAGTCTTATATAGCGCACGTATCTACCAACAATTAGGTACTCAAGGCGCTGGAGATATGTCTATTATTAAAGAAAGGTAAATAAAGTTTACGAGAAATATGAGACCCATTTTGTAGCACCTTATAAGGGTTTACAAGGTGCTGCGGCGCATATTGCAGCCACTGCCAGAAACACCGGGGCAAACCCCTTCTCTTAGCGATAAGTGCTACTGGGTTCTTTAACGTGCATTACACAACACACGGGACCTACGGCTTTACGTCCCATCCGAAGGACGAAGCAGTAATGGTAAAGTGCCTTGCTCAAGAGCACAAGCACCATGTTCCCACGGTCAGGATTCGAACCCATGTACCACGGCACACGAGTCGAACACCGTAACCATTGGACCACAGCACCCCACCTGTCTCTTTAGTCATATAAAATCAAGGCAGCATTTTCTTTAATTTGTTTGCCCGTGATTGTATGTAAAGGTGCGGCTCATTTTTCGTTATTGCTGTTCATGATTATTTTGACAATTTCAAATTAAAAGTTAACAAAAGTTTGCAGAAATAGGGTTATCGTTATGACATGAAAACAAAATAATGTTGCTTTTGTTACCTTTATAGACGAATACAAATCAGAAAGCGCATACCACAAAAACAAATTTGAATGCATACATGTGAACAATGTAGAAATCGAAATCTTCATCAACCACTTTCTAGGTCTTTCAACGAATTTGAATGAAAGAAACGATTATTTGAGTTTTAATGAACTTATTTATCGAAAAACTGCTCAAATAACGAAATTGATATATGTTTTGGTTCGAATGCCCATAAGGGAACATGCGTTGTAAAACGAAGTTGCATTGGCCTCGTGTTAAATAAAACAATTTTTTTTTTAATTGGCCAGGAAAACCTATGTTTGCGTGATATTACTTGAAACGGTCATGTGTAGTGGCGTAAATTCCGGTCGGCGAGGGGGGGGGGGACTAATCAAACCGCAAAATCATCAACCCGGCCGTGGAAATTCAAAAAGTGTGGGGGTGGGGGAGGAGAGGAGGGGGGCTGGGCTGGACACCACATGACACTTAGTGGAGCTATTTATGATACAAATGTACATGTAATGCAAATTTGCGAGCCTACGTCCGATAACCATACACAAAGAAACAGTGCGCTTAAAGCTTCTGTACTGTTCTTTGCCTTTTAAAACTATCTAATAAGTGGGGTCAAATAGGATAGTTGGCAAATTACAAGATAACAACAACATTGTAATTTCATTTCTCACGAAAATCCATGGGGAGGGGTGATTCCATGCCTTATCCCCCTGGTTCAAAAATGGGGGGGGGGGTGTACCCTCCACATTGCCCACCCGGGATTTACGCCCATGGTTACGTGGTAAATATTAAAAGAGCATGAAGCTTTTTAACTTTGTATATATAATTCGTAAAATATCAATTGATATTGTGGATAATTGTGATTGTGGTGAAAGTATTGCATATAGATTCAATGTATTTGATGTATAATATCATGATATATCAATTACCAATATTAACCTTAAAAGAGCTGGATGGATTTCGTCACCTATTCTAATAGCATTAGCTCACAAGTATTCAGTATCAAACCATAATTGCTTGTTTTGCTCGTGACCTACCGTACGTTTTAGCACCATTTTTTTTCTCAAAGAATGTTGACATTCTTGCGCAGTGTCATAATTCGACCCAGCTTGGGTATTAAAGCAAAAAGGAAAAGTTGTTCTTTGACCGTGCTTTGGAAAAAAAAAACTTCGCCATAGACGGAATAAACATTTACATTATTTGTACAGAACTAAGGTTTGATGAACTAGAACATGGCAGACGTTCTAAATTAAGAAATATTGAAAAAAAAAATGTTACCTCTATTTTCAAAGAAAATCTTCAATTTCCGAAATCTAAAATGTGAGAGGGAATCTTCACTCCGACGTCTAAGAACGGACGGCTCTTTTATGGTTAAATTTGCGTATGGCTTTATCAGTACGTGTATCAGAATATATTAATTATATAAATTTAATTAATTAATATGATATCAATTTATTGTTGTTCACATTGCAGCGTAGTTTAATTCGACTTCGTTTCGAAATTTTCACACTTACGGTGAATCATCGTAATTTCCTTATACACTACGTAACAAATAAGTGCCCAAAAGTAAGAAAATCATGCAGAAAAAGGATAAAAATCGAGTCGACAGCGGCCATATTGGATTGCCAAGTGTGCCACAGTTGATCACGTGACCGAAAACTGGCTAGTGTGGCCCGGGTTCTGATAGGGTTGAATTCATGGTAGATATGAAATTAATTGAATGTCGTGCATTGCGTATGGCTTTATCAGTATCAGTATATTAGTTATATAAATTTAATTAATCAGTTATTATATCAATGTATTGTTGTTCACATTGCTACGTAGTTTAATTCGACTTCGTTTTGAAATTTTCACACTTACTGTTAACCATCATACGGTATTGATTTAGCAGGAAAATTATGATATGTGATATAAAAGAAAGTATGTTAGCGGCCTGAAAAAAAAAAACTATATCGTTGTCAACTGTTCGCCTTTGTGTGATCTTTGATTGATGAGATTGATGAGCAGTTGACCGGTTAGAGGCCTGATCGCCTAATATACACCTCGCCTTCGGCTTGGGCTATTATTCGGCGGCAAGGCCCTTTTAAACCACACGAATATAACTGCTCCATCACACTTTGGTTTGCGGTAAGAACAATACACGGCTGCGGGAAAAGAAACCGGTGTTTTGAAACATCACTCATTGTAAATACGTATTTCTTAATTATTCAGTTTAATCGAGCGTCATTGTTGTAGATTGTATTGTGAGCATTGATCATCAACCCTGTCAGAACCGGGCTATTTGGATTATTTATGCATGGTAATTTACATATTTTTGTATAAATTATACAAAATTTAGGACAGTATATGCCTATGTGTCCCAAAAAAATATTTTAGGCGACTAAAAAATGGCATCATTTGGTTGCGGTGCGGATACCGCCAAAGTTGGTAGGCTCATTTTTGGTCCAAAATATTGTTCAGGTTTTCATTCAAATGTTTTCAAATTTTGCAAAAGTAATACATGTACTTGCGCCATTAATACATCTATTCAGTCAGTAACTGGCACTTAATGTTTGGGGCTCCAACTGCAAATTGATGGGAGGATTTATACTAATTTAGATTTCCTTATACACGACTTAACAAATAAGTGCCCAAAAGTAAGAAAATCATGCAGAAAAAGGATAAAATCGAGTCGACAGCGGCCATATTGGATTACCAAGTGTGCCGCAGTT